ATTTTATAAGGAGTACGGTCCAGAGCTGCTCTATTTGAAAAGTGTCCTTTTGGTATGAATTGGCTCTATACAAATAAAACTAAATTGAACAAGCAACTTTCATTTGAAGTTGATTCTGGCGCCCCCTGTGGACAACAGCGTTAGTGCTTCTACTGCCTCTCGTCTTAGTCTTGTCCATTTCCTGTGTTTCCACCACATCTGAAGACGTGCCTGCCAGACTGTGACCTGCCAGTTTAGGCAAATGAGGCAGATGATTCAATGAAAAAAGAGGAAACAACAGTGCAGAGTCGTGTTGTTTGTCTGTGTCTCTGATTTTTGAGTTGGTTGCAATGAATGAAATTGAAACAGAGACAAGCAGAAGTGGAGACTGAAAACTCACAAACTCACATCTCCATAGTGATGATCTGCAGAGTGTTAGTTAGTGTAAGTATGAGGCTGCGAAAGAACAAGGAACTTTATTTTTAAAGCAGCTACAAGGAACTATCATTTTGTGTTGATGTTGGTGCCGCCTGTGGACGAAAGCGGTAGTGTTTCCACTGCCTCGTTTTATCTGTTTTCAAGAACTGAAATTAACTAAAAGTCAATTTCCTGTGTTTCCACCACATCTGAAAAACTGTCTGGGGTCTGAGCTGATTCATTGAAGAAAGAGGAAACACTGTCGGTGTATTTACCCTCACACGTCTCTGGTGTTTGAGTGGTTGGAATAAATTAAATTAAACAAGCAGAAGTGGAAAAGGAGACTGAGAACTCACAAACCCTCATCTCCACAGTGACGATCTGCAGAGTATTTTATGTTTTTTTAATTTCTGCTATATTATGAGGCTGCGAAAACAAAGGAAGTTTCATTTTGTGTTGATTTTGGCGCCCCCTGTGGAAAAATGCAGCAGTGTTTCCATCAGACATTAAGAATAACTATGTAGAAAAAACTTCTCAGTGATGGTCTTGTTTGTGTATGTAGGTCATGTAGAGGCATCAGAAATAAATTGAGACGGTTGCATAAGACAAAGATTCCTCTGTGTCATGTTTAGTTACTGAATATTAAATTATAGGAAGTATCTATTTACACTTCCTTATTTTGTAGATGAAGTTCGACACAACTAGAAGCAGCTTTGTTTGACCAATCAGCAACATTCAACCCTGCAAACTCCTTTGTGATACTTCCTAAAAGATCAGAAAACTATTATCAGGAACATTTACATAAAGTATTAAATTTAAAAGTAAAATGTCTGTTTTTTACTGTTATATCCGATGTTTTTGGACTAATATTACTGCTGCTTTAATGTGCATTTTACTGCTGTAGATGTTTGGTTAAGCTCATTTTAACTACTTTATATACTTTTGGGTAGCTTTGATCCACAACAATAAGATTGAGGGGCAAAAAAACATAAAATTCTTGATGCATTTATGGTGAAACAGCTTAGTCAGGAATAGGATTAGCACCCTGGAGGTCACTTTATTGTGCTTTATCTAGCGTAGGGGCATCCAAGAGGGTGTGTTTATCCAGATAAAATCTATGTTGACAATATGCAGACGATTACAGACTGTATCTTTGACAGATTTAATTTCTATAATGATATAATATACAGATCTGGATACAGATCCATAAAAAGCCAAATATTTGCCTCTGAAATGTAGTGGAGGGAAAGTGTAAAGTTGCATAAAATTTAAACATGTATCGTACAAGTTTGTACTTAAGTAAAGTACTTAAATGTACTCAGTTACATCCCGCCACCGTCTATGTGCCTTTGTCTTGTCTTATGTGGGCAGCTAATAATAAACAGAGGGCAAAGAGTCAAAGAAGGGCAGTAAAAATCAAACGCACCCAGACGAGCAGCTGGGTCATGACTACATCTCCCAGCTGACAAGCAGCGTGCAGGGCCGTGCGAGGCAGTGAGGTCGACCCGGCCAGTTGAGCATTGATCTGGTCCTTGGTGCTGTGGGCCAGGAGGAGCAGCAGTCTGGGCAGATCTCGCTCAGTCACTGCGGAGAGCAGCCACACCGGCATACTGTCCTCTGGAAGCTGGGGCCCCGGAGGCGGCTGGAGGGTCGCCACAAACGCCCGCTGTTCATACTTCGCACGAATCCACGACTCTCTCTCCTCACTAGTGAACCAGACACAGACAGGAGATCCAGTCATGATTAATAGGAATATACACACTTTAATATCTCATGATGAGCTATCCACAAACACTTGAATGCATCAACAGGAACCACCCACATTAAGCACTTATGAACAATCTTTAATGTCTGTCATCAACTAGAACTCATCCAACTAATGTGTAAACAGACAATTAATGAGTAACAGTTATATGAATATTAAAAGTGAAGCATTTATTTACTATATTTTATTATATGTATTTATTAATTTATAAATTAACTTTATAACAACTGAGCAAACTGCATCCACTGACGAAGGTAAACTGTTGTTTCATAATGAAACCTCGATGCTCATCATGTCTCTACAGAGTTTTAAACCCACATGTGAACGATCTGTACAAGTGTATAAACATTTAATAAATTTAACTGTAAGGATTTATTCACACGTGCAGTCATACAATATTAAATATGATTACAGCTATCAAGCTATGCGTGGTTACAAGTCATCACTAATTCATAAACTGTTAACAGTAGTTATGGATGAGTCATAGGAGAGGTTTTAATTGGTGAGAAACACATTAATAAATGGTAAATGGACCTGTACTTGTATAGTGCCTTTCTAGTCTTCCGACCACTCAACACCCTTTCACACACATTCACACAGCGATGGCACAGTCCAT